AATTACTTAGCTCCAAGCTCCCCAGTGGCACAGTTGTATGTCTGCGGACTTACAACGCTAGAAACCGGATTTCGATACCCGTGGTGGGCTGAGCACAGATAGCCCATTGTGTAGCTTTGTGCTTAATTCCAAACAACCAATCTAGCTCCAAAAGACAAAGGCTTCTACTCTATATAAAAAAAACAAGTCCTCGAAAACGGCTTCAGTTCATTAAATAAAAATAAACCGAGGTAGATGTCCACATGATAAGTTCTCAAAATATTTCGTTTCTCTTTAATACTACAAATATTTGTCAGACGTAAAAAATGTTTGAAAGTTTTTGTGGAGATTTGTGTAACCTATAGAATTACAGAACTAATGTACGGTGAAAAGTGAAGTTTTAAAGACACGAAAAACTAAAAATAAAGTACTAAATTAACTGAAATACATCTTTAATGTCGAGTTCAACATATCTGACCTAAATCCTTTTTTCATAATCTGCGGGCCCGGCATGGCCAGATGGTTAGGGCGCTCGACTCGCAATCTGAAGGTCGGGGGTTCGAACATGCTTGCCCTTTCAGCCGTGGGGGCATTATAATGTGATAGTTAATCCCTCTATTCGTTGGTAAAAGAGTAGCCCAAGAGTTGGCGGTGGGTGGTGATGACTAGCTGCCTTCCCTCTAGTCTTACACTGCTAAATTAAGGACGGCTAGCGCAGATAGCCCTCGTGTAGCTTTGCGCGAAATTCAAAACAAAACCAAAACCTCTATCAAAATATTTGAATAAATAATAAGTTTATGGGTATATGTAGGAGAGTAAAGAAAAAAATAACATATTGAATGCTTTGTACAAATTAATTCAAGCATTTAAAGTTAACCGGAACACATGACCATTTTGCATATTCGCGGCATTTCAGCGCGTGAAAAGAGTGAGTTGTATATTTCTAACAAATCTTTATGAATCAAATTGATTATATATATATATATTTTCAACGATGTATTAATTATAATAAGCATAAAGGCCAACTTTTGGATGTAATTAAACAAAATTGTTTAGATGTTCTCTACGTAAGTTAAAAAGATATGTCGTAGAATTGATAACACTAACAATGTAATACAAGTATAGTTTCCACTAAGGATTGATAACACTAACAATGTAATACAAGTATAGTTTCCACTAAGGATTGATAACACTAACAATGTAATACAAGTATAGTTGTCCACTAAGGATTGATAACACTAACAATGTAATACAAGTATAGTTTCCACTATCTTTGTCTTTAGTTATATCACTTCCATTATACAGACTTTTACACTACAGTTGTAAAAGTTTATGAAAGAATCAAAAAATAATTTAGAAAAAAAACAGGGGTGGACTGACCATAATAGCGGTCGGTGCAATCATCAGAACGGTCCGACAGTTTTAATCTAGAGCCGGCCCGCCGGACTATCAATATAAATTGAAAATAAAAATTATTAGTTACGTAAAGTAGTATAAAGTACTGATTTTTAAGGCCTGCATACAATTGTTACTTAACTTTAATTAAGTCTTGAACTTCCCCAAAAGGCTAGGCCGGTCCAATAGCCAAATCACTGGGGCGCTCCGACCCCCCCCCCCTCAGTCCGCCTCTGGAATAAAAACGATTTCATAACATCCAGTTGGCTAATTTGATTATATATGCGGATGTAGGTATGATTGTGTATTGTTACATGTGTGTATATATATATATATAGTTTTATGTGTGTTTAATTATAAGTCATCCACAACTTTCATATTATTTTCGACCTATTTCCTTATATTACTTCAGCTGCATTGTTCACTTTGAAGTATTACAATAGTACTTTATTTAGTTCATGTAAATGTTTCTTCACGTATATTTATTTCTCAGACGTTATATACAAATATTGGAAAACAACAACTTTCATCCAATAGGATCATCGTTCAAAGAAAACAGTCAACGTTTAATATATTCCAAAATGACACATTTGAAGAAAACGACTAAAAGATTAAGTTACATAAACTGAACACATTTGTAAACAAAAAGTTTTCATTATAAGGTATATTGTTTATTTTTTAAGTTATAGAAATTAGCATACTTCTGATGAATAGATTGTGTTAACCTTATGTGAATGTCTTAGTTTACTTTCAGATTGAAGAGATGTTTTTAGATAATAACAATTGTTACTTTTTGAGTTAATTCTCTAACTACAAATACCCACTAAAGCTACGCGGCATGTTCAGAAGGAAACTATGTTTTATTTTGTGTAGATCAACCTTATAAGATTTTGAATTCTGACTCAAATTGATGCAACCAACATCAATCGCTTGTGACAACCCAATCAAGCAGTGTACTTCCTCCAGTATAATTCATCTATAATGACTCACTTATTTTTCCAAGCCAGTTCCCTTGGCTTTGGTTTCGCTAGATAGTAGATTGTATTGCGAGTGGTTTCTGAATATTTACTTTTAACTTAACAGATTAAACTTTGGTATCTAATTCATTGAAGTTATCTTCGGAAATGGATCCGGCTGTCTGTTTTGTCATACTCTACTTTCACATTCGTTTCATCGTATATTTTATTTTGTTCCCGACCAGAATTTTGTGCGTGTCTGAAGCATTATGACCTATTGAAACACATTGTTTTCAAAACTATTTTCACTCGCAGTCAGTCGCCATTTTCTCATTGTGTTGTTCTTCATTTGTCGTGAAAATAAATAACATATGACGCCGTTTCGGACGTATGGGTATACACCTATTAACACTATATTTCATCTCCTACAATTTACTCGTATCCAACAAACGGGAGAAAAATACCGTTTCTTTCTGAGTATTCTTCGTACATTAATTACTGGAAACAGCTAACAGATATAAAGCAATAAAATTAATATTGAAGTATTTTGAATAGATATTTTTTTTTCTTCCAGAAATGAAATATTCATTTTTAGATAACGAATACTTCATTTACAGAGGCTACCAATAAAACGTTTGTAATTATTGTGACATCTGGTGTTTCCAAAAAGGAAACGTTTTCACATTTCTTCTAATAATACATATCAGTAATGATGATAATAATAACGATATTGTTAAACATGAGCATACAAGTCTGTCTATTACTTACTTTTTAGTAATATATATTAAAGTAAGTTATTTGAGTGTGTTGGGCTAAGGATTTTTCTACAGTAGGGTCTGTGACTTGCTGGAAATAAATTCAAAAAATAAACAAACAGCACGCATTCTACTTGTTTATAAAATAAAAAATATATATACATTCGGAGCAAGTTAAACATATGTACAAAAATTCCTTACACCATGGAGGTCATAGTAATATCTTAAACACTATATATATAGTTCTCTTCTTCTTGTCAAAAGTCCACTTAGGCCTCTTCAATTGCTTTAGAATTCAGTTGAGAAGCCGAACTATTTTTCTCTATTTCTATCGTCAGACTATCCGTGTACAGTTCAATTACGTTATCATTGAGTTACCGCGGTTGTATCCTGTACTTCAAAAATCGTCTGCTCGTTTTTCGTACTTCGAAGAATCGTTTGCCTATTGTCAAAGTCCACTCAGGCTGGTTCAATTGACGAGACAATATATTCTCTATATCTCACTCTAACATGTCAACCATTAGGCCTTTCACTTCCACGACGATTAACTTTGTGTTTAACTTTTCTCTGACCAAACTTCTCTTTCCAGTGACTTTATTTTACTCTCTTTTGCTCTCTTTTTTCGTCTGCTTGTTGCTATTTATAGGTCTGTTACTTAGGTCTTCTAGAAATCTCTATATCCTTGACATCAGTGGATTGCACGCGATGTTCAATGGCCTCCACATCAATGAATTATAAACACAACTTACGATTCTTACCGAGTTAAGTAACCAAACTTGCCATAACTATCGCCTTTAAAATAATTGCTTTTAACTATCTTGTTATGAAAAAAAAGAAATCATGAAATATTCACTCACAAAATAAATAAATTAATAATATTTTATATCTGACAAAGTCGTATTAAATGTCTTAAAGGAATCCTTGTTATGGTTAATAGTCTATATAACCACTAAAGTCTAATTATTAATTAGTAACATTTTTGTAATTACACATTAATTACTAACTAGTTTACACCCTACAAAATAAGGTGCTACCACTTGGGGGTAAGTAAGGTAAACTTACCTTCACACATATATAACTTACTAACTAATAATTACTCTTAGATGATCGTACAGGCCCATGACAGGGATTGATATCCGATTGCCACAATCTTATCGTAAGTACTATTGTAAGCTAAGATAGTTTTGATGCAGATATATTGTGTTGTTAAATTATTTGTTTTAGCGTAAAACTACAAAACAGGCTTTCTGCGATTTGTCTACCAAGTGGAATCGAAACCCAGCTTTTAGCTTTGTAAGTCCGTAAATTTACCGCTAGCTCACTGAAGACTTTAATTTTGGTAAAAAATGAACGAACAATCATACTGAACTGTCAAGAGAAAATTATATTTACGTCAACAGATGGCACTTTCATACAAGAATTATGAGAACAGTATTTCCGCCTGACGCTAACCTAATTTCCTGCGTGCGCACTATCCACTAAACGCACGCACCACATTCTTCTGTATGAAAGGTTCGCGTTTCATGTGACGGGTTTATTACGTTGTCATTGAATGTAAAGTACGAAGGGACGGGTTTCGTTAGGCTCTCTCCCCGATAATCTATTTGTTTCATCAAATTTCAAGATCAGGGCCACTACTGCGAAGCGAAGACAAAATGGCTCGCTAATTCTGTTTCAACTTTGTAAACAAAAAAAAAAACAAGAAAAAAACGTAAAAAGTAGTACTAACAAGACGAGTAGAGAGAGTAGTTCGTTCCGTCCGTACGGTCGTCGGGTCGAACGTTACCGGTACCGTACC